AGAGAGAGAGAGAGAGAGAGAGAGAGAGAGAGAGAGAGAGAGAGAGAGAACCATTTCTAACGTGTAACCAAAATCGATTCTTCGCAAGGTTACTTTCACCGGATTCCTTTTCGCCGAAGAACGTCGTCGAATCTCACGATTAAACCCTGAAGGTCGTTAAAATACACTCGAGTTAAAATATGGCGTTGCTGCATGAATTTCGTCCGTCCTTGATGTACACCAGTGGAGCACGACCTGTTCCGCTAGTGGGCAGAATAAAAATAACATGAAAAATTTCTAAAATACATTCAGCTACATTTCCATTCACTTCCTTCATTTTATCATTATCTCTTCTTATCTGACGTATGGAATTTTTCATTTCTCCACTCATTCGTACTTATAATTGTAGATTGATGCATACAGCATTTTCCAACCTATTCGGAAACAACCCAAAATAACATTTTCTACCCATTTTCGGATAAAAACGTGCACGAACAATACAATTGAATTTGATAGAGTTACGAAAGAAATTGAAGATCACTATTAAACCCTCTATGAGGTTAGATACATCTTTGTTTGAAGTTTTTCAACGTTACATCCGGAAATGTCAAGTGCGCTTATATGACTTTCACTTGTCGGTACAGAAAGCAAGAATCTCGCTACTTCTATAGAAACTATCACTGCAATCATTTATGTTTGATGCTACCCATTCAACAAAAAGTCCGAAACATGCACATTCAACGAAATGTTACATGAATTCTGGCGAGTGTTTAAGTCGACGTAGAGTTTACCAAACGAATAATTTTCTTCTCGAAATGAAAAAAGAAGAAGAAATTCAAGCAAAATAAAAAAAAAATTTGGTTAACCAGATAGAATGCATAAAAAAAAATATAAAACAAATAAAGAAAAATTGTAAGAAACCCTATTAAATTCCTCAAATACCAAATGATATTCCCGGAAATTCTCGTCCTGAAAATTCTATTAGCCAGACCAACAACATAAGAAACGTTTCAAGTAACCAGCACTTGGTCAAGGACGGGTTGCAATGTCGAAACAGCCCTTTTTGGAAGATGTTTGCAGAGTACACGTACCGGGTACCCTTACAGAAACGTGCAGCTGATTTAAGCGATTATTAGAAGCGACGCGCGCACCAGTGACGACACAAAGTCACACCCGGTATTACGTGATCGTGCATTTATATAACACCCACATTATCCTTGCATTATATGGTTAGCAATGGTGACAGCACAGAGAAAGTTCCTATCCGTTCCCATATGCTCGTAGCGGTTGTACATACGGTCTACGCTCGACGTCTGGGCTACGTGTCTCGATTATGCTCGACGTACCTCGGTATAGTGCTTCGATGAATACCTTTTGCGCGGATTTCCCTTCAGTCCTAACCGCGATATCGCGTCGACGACAATGACGCGATAATGTTACGTGACAATTGAAATTTATTGAAAACAACGTTTCCATCTGTTTGTTGCAGCAGCACCAACATGCGGGAGAAAAGGTGGCTTCTGCTCGCTCTGTGCGGTAAGTGAATCCAACTATTGTCTCCGATATTAGTTGGTACGAAAAAGAACGTCCAGACGTTGAACCAGAAATGGGCACAATTTTATCGGTATAATGGATAGAGTGGGGCATGCGACTGCAACCACTTTAATAACTCGTAAGTAACCAGCGAAAACTGGTTTGGAGTTTGGAGACGAATGCTCTACAAGTATGAAGCAACCATTATTTTATGTTATTGGTCCTTTCGTTTTAGTGGGCACGTAATGGGTATCCGAACGTTACATTCGTTTTCTTAACAATTTATGTTGCTTGTTTTTGTAGGCTTTTACAAGTACGTGGATACTATCTTAAATGAATGATTATTAATATACACTACCGATTATTACTGTGCAATCTTTTGTTGATAAATTTCATTTCTGATCTGTACTTGGTATTCAATATTCAATAATATTATATCATACAATATTAAAGTTTTAAATGACATATTAAATCATGATTTAGATACAACATCTGAAAAACACTTTGTTTTGTTGAGTATGTTAATCTGTGTACCTAGTCTAATGTTACTTTAGCAGATATATTAAAATCAATTATGCGAAATGATGTAACTGTAACCACATCGGTAACTCCATCGGCAGCAACTGCATCGCGGACGTTCGTACACGTAAGATATGCAAAATGCAAATGCTTCTTACGCGTACGGAATGTGCATTTATGCATGAAAACATGGATGTTTGTACGTGTACGTGTAGGATAAAAATGTGCAAATTACACGTATACACAATGTAGATAAACCAATAGAACAAAATAGTTGATATAAAACTGATTTATATGTTAAATCCTCGCGAGCAAAATCCTGCTGTCGTCGACGGTAACGCCATTTACCGGCACATCGTGTCCCTTTGTATTTTTGGACTTTCCATATCTGGAGAGGAATGTCGAAGACAGCGGTCGACCTTCCAACCTGCGAGTTTTGCATCGACGCGCACTTCAAGGTTCGTTCACACCGACATTCCGCGCACCCTTGCTGGGCGAGTCCGTTTTATCGAATAAAATTTGATACGTCAACCAACGCGACGAAAGGTGTGTTTTATATTCGCGACGCGAACGTAGGTACGCGTGACGCGCGAAACAGCTTTGCGGAAAGATTCCAAAGAGGAGAAGATGAACCTGTCGAGCATAACAAGGAGCTTCCTTTGTTTCATCGCGACAAACGCACCGAGAACGGGAACCGACCAGCTCCGAAATTCTCGTTCCAAACCAAACAAGATTCACGTAGAGCTTGACGATTTAGTTGAAATTCAAATTGAAATTGTCAATGATTCTTTTCGTGGTACACGAGAAAACATCGACGCTGCTCTACCTTCCTTTCTTGGAACTGATTAGCGAGCAAGGAGGTTCGAAAGCACACGCAATCGCTGTGTCCAGTGGAAGGTTTGAAATCGGTCACGTGACGGTGCGTTAACATTTAACGCGGTTCCTGACATTTTCACCCGTTCGACGACTGTTATTCGTTCCTCGCGAGCAGAGACAGTCGAAAGGCCTTCGAAAACTTGTTTGAAAGCTACCGAACGATACGGCAATACCCTACGCACGCTCACCTCCTCGGGACCACAAAAATTTCCATCCTTGCTCTCAGAGCCACAAGCTCTGCTCGACACATTCCCGAACGATCCTGACCTTCGCGATCCCGATCCACGGGATCGAAGAGGAGTCCACGACCGAGACTCGTGCTCCAGTGCATTGTGGGTGCAAGCAAGGGCGCAATTGCACTCGTCTGCCATGAACATTCCAGTTCTAATCTTTGGAACTGATTTTATACATGGAACAGATTTAACGATAAATTTTAATTTGGAAATATACTGTTTATTTGGAAAGATTTTCAAAAGCGTTTAAAATCTTCACGACTTAACCGAACGGATTATGTGGCGTCTGTCAGTTTCTACTATAATTACGTTTGTTACACTTGTGGGTGCGTCAGCGTCGCGTTTCCATCGAAATTTCCACACGGGTGTTGCCGTCACGTAGGGAAACCAATCTCGTCACGCCCTTTTTAATGAAAATGTCAGGACGTTCCCATTCGAGTGGGAATCGGACAATCGTCAGAGCGATACGCGATCGAGGTGGAGCAATCTGTTTACGAGCGTCGGTAGACTGTTTCGTCACGAAATTGTGTTTCGCCGTTACGTTTCTAGCTGGGCCGTGCCCACGCGAGCGTTTCCCACAAACGGAATGCGAGCACCGTTCCCATAATTCATTTTTATGCAACGTCGTCGGTACTCGTTATCGATCCCGGCTTGGACAGACCGAGATCCCGTTACGAATGTGTACACGGGACTGTCGGTAGGTGTGTTTTTCAGCATCGAGGACGTCTACTCGCGAGAAAAACCTTCACACCGAAATTTCGTCAATGGTAAATAAAAGTGTCGTCATTCGTCGAAAGACGCACGGATAAATAATTTGATAGCCCAGCGGAACACTTGAGCTTGGATCAAGAAATTTATCTATGGTTCTTCTCCCCTTGAGAGTGCTTTGGCAAATATTTTTTTAAAGATATCATTCGTCTGATTGAAATGAATTTCATTTCTGTGAATATACGATAACCTTTTAAAAAATATTCTTCACTTAGATTCCACGCCAGTATTTTGAAAATCAAAGGTTAGACAACGCTACCATTCCTTAAGCTTCCAGATCCTATTGGTAGACTACAACTCTAGCAGAAATTTTATACAATTCTGGTATATAAACTAAGATTTGGATTGTTTTCTGATGGAAATATGGCATAATCTTGACAGAAGTCAGAACATTACTCTACACGATAAAATGATCCATAGAAAGCTCGAGAGACGGCGAAAGTATTTGGTTTTTCATCCAATGACAGGTTATCCTGTTTTGTTCGAACCGCTCTTGTTAATCCGTTGGCCTTGAACCGGTTCCCCTTAATTAGGCGTAGCTAGTCTAAAAAGAATTTATTAAGACTATCGAGGAGTAACTCCCACTATACCAATGATCGGCAACCGATTGCGAGCGACAGGTAACTCGCAGCAGTGAATTTACTGGCTCGTGCTAGCTTAAAGTGACATCAAGTTGAGCTCATTGTTTAATTCGTTTCATTTTTATTCGTAGATGTTGCTACTGAAAATGTATAAAGTTATATCGTAGGTCACTTTCGAGAAATAGTCAAGCTGATAAGTTAATGGAAACCTTGCTTTGAAAGGTATTCTAAATATTATGCCTTAAAGATAAATATTCAGTCACGAGGAAGCATTGTAAACTATTTTTCTTTAAAAGAAAAAACATATTACAAAAATACAATTCTTCCATTTCAAACTATTCCCTTCTTTCTTTCCATTTATTTTGTATATATTCAAAATCATACATTTATTGTGAATACATTTATTTGTATTTACATTTATTTTGTATGATAGTAACTTCAAGATTGGCTGGCGATCACTGTACCAGGTGTAACTACCTTGTACCTTCATCTCTGTTCGCTTCGCGTTGGCTACACCCTATTGTTACAAGACTAATAGGATAGATATAGAGTCTCCTAGCGAAGCAACATCTGGTAGAAAAGTGTGAGAAAGTAACCATCTATCGAAAGACAAAGCCGAATAGGTTTCATTGGCAGTATGGAGACAAAGGAAGGTTGCGCCACAACTACTCTTCTATACAGGGTATATCGTGATATGTGGCGAATTGGAAACGTAAAACAATGGAAAAAGTTCGTACAAACATGTGCCTCAATCGACCTTGTTCTCAAGGTATTTGCCATTTTTTTGCTTAATTGCAAACTAAGCTGAAGAAACATTGATCTAATTATTAATGGGTCTGATGAGAGAGAGAACAGATATTTGAAAACTTGCTGGGCTACGGAATATATCCGAGTAACACAAAGGATGTGTTGCACAATAGAGATCCTTATTTGAAAAATAAATTACCATAAACGTGATTGAAAATCAAACATAAATTGTCCTTCTTCTTTTCTATTATATAATTTACTGGTTAGACTTTTCAAATGATCGCCTATCCACACCCATAGTTGAACGTATAGTGACAAGAACATGTTTTCTACCAGCCTACAGAATCTATTAAAATTCTGAATGCAGCAAGAGGAGAAACGACAATCGTCCACGAACAGAAACGTCGATCGTTTGTTACCGCGCCCAAGTAGAATAGGTTTCTTTAACTGGTTTAACATATCGCGAGCGATCTATACGGATAACTATAAATCAACGAAAGCCGGTGAAAGAACATGATCAATAGACAGCCTTGATCCGCTTGAAAACAATTGCCCAACCGAATGAACGCGTTCACCTGCGCCGCGAAAATTGCGACACTTACGCTGTGCAGGTACTAGCTCTTCTCTCGCGCACTGGTTTTGCAACGTCGAAGCTTCTTCGTGATTTACGCAACCCGCGGATGCGTGGCGGCCTTTGATTGTTTCGTGTCTTAGTCGCGGCGACGACCGATCCACTCGTCGTATCCACTCTCTACATCCAGTAGCTAAACGAATCGAACTTATCTCTCTTTTCTCTTATATCTCCAGGGGGAAAAATTTACAGAAGAGAATATAGCACCCACTACGTTAGTATTTCCCTATTTTTGGTAAATTTATGTACTCGAGAAATGAATGCACTATAAATTCAAGTCGTCATACCAAGTTTCATAATTTTCTGATAAATCATTCTTGAAATATGAACCAGAACAAAAGTCAACGTACATAAATACACAAACACGTACACTCGTAGGTGTAGAAATTGTTACTGAATTAAATAGCATCCAAACATAGAAATATATTCAAGGGTATAGAATATTTGCATGAATGAAGTGGAATTTTTATGATCCATAATAGATAATGATCCATACTAAATTGTTATAATCCATACATAAAAGTAAGCACGCCAAATTCTCATAACTTTCATATAATCACTTGTGCGATATAAAGTAAAGCAAACCAGGCCTGACATGCACACATCTTTACACGTGTAATGTCCTAAAAAATGTAATAATATCGTATAAACATGGGCCATACACCATGTAAATGTCGTTCAGCCGGTTTCCGTTCTGATGTTTTCCATCGAATTTCAGGTATCGTTTTGGCCAATGCAGTTTCGGCTGCAGTGAAGCCAACCAGGCCGAAATTCAAGATCGCGACAACCTCGACTACAACAACGTCGACAACCACTACCGAGGAGAACGAGAACGAGGATCCAGAGGTAAATCTGCTTTCTAACGTCCGATTGCTTCTCAAAGTTTTTCGCGAACAGCCGTTTTTCGAATCATCGAATCGAGACGTTGCGCCCGCGCCGATGTATTTACAGTGCAACAGCTTGCAACGATCGCGGTAGCATCACCGTTATTGCATTATCTACGTGTACCGGAATAGAACCGAGAGATCGTTTATCGTCTATGATGGAAATCGCGGCAACGATGCTGCAGTCACGACACCACACAACGCGTCTATTTCTCCAGCTGCGTGTTCGTGCGCCTAACGAGGACTCGGAATGAAAACGAAGACATAGTTGGTGTCTATGATGAGGATCGACTAAACCTAAAACACTTTCTACCCCAATGATTGGTAGCTCTTCTTAGCACAAAACTTGACAATCGATTTTCCCCGGAATTTCAACGGATCAATTTGTCATCCCCTTAATTTATTAAGGGAATCGTATACTCGAAGCATACTCAGAAGAAAACTCAATCATAGAGGGATTAAAAATGTTTGATATTTGTTTGTAATGATCAACAAATGTAAATTTTCGAATCATCAAGTATAATCAATCAATCTCTATCTCTAATTCTTTGTAGCTTCCCTCTGGATTTATCATAGTTTATCGCTATCTCTCGATATTCTTTAATCACGGCAGAGCCGATGTTAACATTAATTAACGTGTTCCAAGCTACCGTAATGGCACGTACACAACAGGTTCACCTTCGCACATAAAACGACGCCGTGACATCACCAAACGCGCATCAAGAGCTCATCACCGACCATCACCGCGAGCGACGCTCAATCTGCCATAGGATAAGGGAATATTCTTGCTTGGCTACTGCTAAACTAGGGCATCTTCGGAATTTTATAAAACTAGAATATATATCTATGTTGCACATATCTATGATGCATATATTTTGTTACATAAGTGACATCAATTTATTACAGGAAAATTGAATTTTCATTTATTTTCATTTGTTGTTTTCGACCATTTCAATAACTATCGTCTTTTGAAACGAATTATTTCAACTAACGTGACGATCGATTTTTAAATTCTTCCAGCCAACGACAACGACGGTTGCTACTGAGACGAACGGGACAACGGGGCACACCCTGACGGGAATTCCCCAGATCGACTACATCTGGGATCCTAATTTGCCACGTGAACTGAACGGTTACAATCTCAGCGACTATCCATTCTACAACAGCATACCAGAGGACATCGACTTCAAATGCGACGGGTTGCACGATGGGTTCTACGCGAGCGTGCCTCACAAATGTCAGGTGAGAAGGCGACATCGATATCGCCGAGCTTTGTGTTCCTTTCGGTAACGTCATCGTTCAGAGACGCGCATAACGTTGGCGTTGGTATACGCCAAGCCTCCACTTAGTCGGAGATTAATTTTCCAAAAACTATCAAATTTTTAAATAATATAAATCGACTTTTAAAGTAACACCAATATGAAGACTCGAATTATGTAAATCTGAAATCTTTTAAATCAAGAAAATGTACAGACTGTAAAAAGTTCAACGATGTTTCGAACGTTCCCATGGAATGCATTTCGGTCGATTCGTTTTTTACGTGTATCGCGGTTTGTTATTCAGAACAGCGTTCTTAATTACGTAGAAGTTTATTCAGCCCCATTTCGTAAAACCTTGGCATGCAAAACAAAAATTCGACGCGGCAGGGAGAGCGTGTATCGCGTAAAAGATCGTACGTCGAAGGACACTTGACGTCGACGTCGGTGTGGGAAAGCAGCTGTTTGCTTTCGGACTAGACACGTTTCGCGGTGGTGATCACCAGCGGACCTTTTTAGACTCGGTCTAATAACGTCCAGTTTCTCGGGGAATACATCGATCCATATCGTTGCATTCTCGTGGAATCTCGGCGTGCCCCATTATAGGATACCTTGACAATGACAATATATTGTTACAATTATCAAGCACTCGTTGGTTAACACTGAGAAAAAGATAACTTACTATACGATAGTTCAAAGCCCTAGGAAGTTATAAACTTTAAAGCTTATGGACTCTACTATAATTTATGGTGGCACAAGTACCTATCACGAGACAAACATCTAATTCTTACTCTAAGCTTGCAGTGGCGGCTCTTCGTTTCCCCCTACAGGGGTACTCACGGCGGGAACCACGAGTACGTGGCCACTTGCTTAACTATGACTCCTCCAAGACTGATCTCGGATACTAGATCGTCGGACCAATCCGACACCCCGGCCGACCGTCTTTAGAAAGTCATAGTCACTCCCGGCAATCTCAACAAACGTGAAAAAAAGAGTTTCCGACATGGTATATCGTCTATTCGCGTAACGATCCGTAATGGCAGTGTTCCCTCCAGCAAAGGGAACAGCCCATCGATCGCGATCACGGCAGACGAACGTCCTTTTCGATTTCTACCTCGATCCCACGCGATCACGGACAACCGTGAAACGAAAGCGAGTCCTCGAGCGAAATACGGATGCAAAAAAATCTCTGCAACGCTCTGCTAGGATCGTTTCACCGTCAGTTCGAACTTGAGAGATTCAAACTCGCTCTCGAGAACAAACGTAGATTGTTCGCTTTAATTTTAAGTGGATTCGTTAGTTTCGGGTGTAAGATCTCTCATTCATCTATCAAAAGAGAGGCTTCTGGTCACTGTTATTGTTTCAGTGTAAACATTCTTATCGCGATTACAAGAAGCACAGTCTCGATACCTCGGGGGAAGAGTTGGAGGGCTCCTCGAGGATGAACAGATCTGTCGCGGTTCGATACACTTCCCGGCCCTGACCGTTCCAACGTTTGCTTGGAACTATCTTGGGATTGTGAAAGCGATTGCAAAGTATCCCTTTCCGACGTTTCTTATCGATCGTCTTGGCCGGGCTACCAAGCGAACGGGCCATTGTCATGCAAATGTTTGCGGATTCGCTTCCCTAGAGTGCTCGCGGTCCGAACCGGATGCGGGACGGGGAAAAAACACAAGAAAATTCGCTGCGAAACGCTCGCGATCGAGAGAGCGGTCGATTCGACGCGGGTTACGCTCCGACGAAGTTGTAATCGCCAGAACCGATTTCCCAATCGAGATTCTCTAATGAACGCTCGCTGGGCAGAGTCGACGTCGTCATAAGGTAGGCCAAGCAGGGAATGGTACAAAGAAATTATTCCATCTTTATCGATGACGCGACTATCAAAAATAACAAATAGGAATTAATTCTGTCTCTTTATATTCGTATACTATAACTCCAGTCTAAATAGAAATGTTTACTCGTCGTTCGTACGATTGTCTCGTTATAATGTGACATATCTGTTCACGAGTCTCCTGCTTGTCGATGAATAGAGTAAAATATTTTGACCACTCGTGCCCGACCCGACAATCCCAAACGAGGAACGCAAACCACTAAATTATCACGCAACGGCTTTCGCTAGACTACTCCTGCTAATATTTCATAATAACGCTAATAACAGTATGGTCGAAGACGTTCTAAGCCCGCAGTACCATAGACTCCCTTCTTTGCCAAGCTAACAACCAAAACTAAAGCGTCTGCTCTGTTATGCCCATGCGTGACTAACGGAAGATTAATTTGTTCGGTTTTGGAAGTTTGTGGTCAGACCGGGCACGTTTGACATTTAACCGAGTACAAGTTGAGCAAGCCCCATCCATCAGCGGAAAATCGTTGAACCGAGCCACGTCAAGATGCTTAGAGACAACGATTCCGAGTAATTTTCAGCCGAGCAAGCGTTCTTGTCATGCAAATACACAACGAGTCACTTCCTGCAATCTGGAACACAGGAGACGCCAACTTTCCAATAAAACTACCAAAGCTCAGAGAAACTCTGCGCCGCGTCGGTTAGGAGTAATAAGCGCGCAAACAAAAAGATTTCCACGACGGAAAATCACGGGTACGAGGAAAACGCGTGGCTGACGATTAAATGGCGGCGAGGAGAATCGAGCGACGCGCTGACAACGAGTGGAGCATTGTCCCCTCTATATTTATCGAAGAAATTTGACTAATTTCAATGAATGGTTCATGTTTCTAAATCAATTTCTGATTGTACGTATATTACACATATGGGACGTTTATTCGTGTACATATTTATAATGGACAATTGATTTGGAAACACGAATAGAATATAGAGGATACGAATACTTATAGGGCTGACTGTAATTTAATAAATATACACAAAATTTAAATGTGTCTTTGAATTTTTCATAAAAATTGCCACGAACTTTCTGAACAACCCAATACATAACTTTTGTTACTAAAGCTCTAATAACTACTTGTAACAAGTCTGAGTACGAGTGATGGTGGTCAGCCCTGATTTGAACCATGAATTTCCAAAAATGGTCCCAAAAAGTCGTATTACTTGTCCCTCGCAACTGATGAAAATTTCTTTATTTTTACCAAGTATACCACACCACTTGGTATTCCGGCCTCTTGTAGCACGCAAATATTCTATGTTGCAAAGTTCCGTTTGGAAAAGTTATGACGAACAAACAAGCAGCGAGCAATTCAGAGAAACGAAACCAAACGTTGGTTTGCGACGAGCGAGGACGTGCTCTGAATGATTCTAGATGATTCCTCCAGATAATCCGACGTGGCGATACGTGCCAGACAATCGCGGATACCCTTACAAAGACAAGTTGCTCGTAGATGGTAGAGTCGTGTGTCTCGGAGCAATTACTCGCGTGCACGTACTCTCGGTGTGAAAGCTATGGTAGCGTCCAGCGTCTGTCTTGGGTGAAAAGTGTGCTAACGGTGTCGTCGAAACTGCCCCATTCTTTCCCCGATATAACAAAATGGAGGAAACATTCTGCCTCGAATTCGGATGCGAGTCTAATTTCCGGAAAATTGCGAAACGTACTAAAGTAATAGGCTCAAATCAGAGATAAAGGGATAAAGGGGTAGATAAAGGGTACTTGATACTAGAATAGAATTACGAGTTTTAGAGGGTTAACCATCTCTTTTCTTCTTCAAGGTGTATCATCACTGTCTCTTCGGTACGAGGTACGACTTCCTCTGCGCGAACTTTACTGCGTTCGACCAGAAGACCTTCATCTGTCACTTCGTGTCCGAGGTCGACTGTGCCAACTCGAAAAAGTACTGGCATAGGAACGACGCCCTCTACAAGGCGGCGACAACCACGACGACGTCCACCTCGACGACCACGACGACGACGACGACGCCGTCGCCAGCTCCTGTGGAAGCAGGACGATCGAGAGACAGGGATCCTCCGAGAAGAAGATGGCCATTGAGAAGACGACCTGCGTACGATTACTACGACGATGAGTACTACGACGACGAGTACAGTCGCCCTCGTGGCTATAGTAGGGACGATTACGACTACGAAGACAGAAAGTACACAAGGGACAGGCATCGAGAGTTCAGAGATCGAGATCGCGATTTTCGAGAGAGAGATGGTCCAAGACCAAGAGACGGAATTGTCAGGGACGACAGAGATCGAGATACGAGTGCCAGGGACAGATATCAGAACAGAAACAATAGGAGAGATCCTACCAGGATGAGGGACCTGTTACATCCTCTGGAAGAAGACGCAAAGGTCAGGCCAAGAGACCCTGAATCAGGACCGAGGTCTGCTTCCAGAGAGGTCGACGAGGCGGAGCTGGAAGATCGACGAAGCGATTCTAGAGTCAGGGACACCGACGACCGTCGGTACTCTGATAAAAGGTAGTTCGCTGTGTCGACTAAGCATCCCGTCGAACAATAACGAACAGACCATGTAAAATTCCATTCTAATTTCTTCACTTATTACTAATTACTTCACTTATTATTAAACTCTTATTATATACTTTTGCGCAAATCTGCACCCTAGTATTTTTTTACAATTTTTAAATAGGTTTCGTATATGCACTCGTGCTAAATGCCTTGAAAATTAGAGAACAGAAAATAGAAATAAATGTTTACATACTGAATCGGTAAAATCACTTAATTAAGAAAACACTTTTGTTTTTAAATGTATAGAAATCGATCGAAAAATTGCAACAATATAAATCTTCCAACAAACGCTATGAATTTCAAACTTGTTACCCATATATTTCTATATTCCTTCTACACTGGACAAATATCGATTAAATATTGTTTCTTGATTCCTTAGAATGTACAAATGCATGGTACGTATAGGTGTCGCGCGACAAGATATACGCCTAGTCTCGCTTATCGCTTTTTAACGCACACACACCACCTCTACTCGCTTGTACCAGCAATTACGGGACACCCCGTCCTATATATCTTATCTCATATTCACGTAATATACGTTAAGTACACACACAACTACCAAACCACACGTATAAAAAAAAAATTACTAGCGACGATCTAGATACCAAAGTTCCACCAAACAGCGTGGCTGATGTCCATTTCTTCTCGCGACTACTATAAAAAATCTCTTTTTATAACAACTACCAAGGACTAGCCATTCTTCGACATTATTACATTCTCCAGTCGTTTATCAACTTCATGGCGAATTTTCCTACAGATACAGGGACGAGTACGACGACAAAGTGTCTGCTCCCTCGTCTGCGGTCACGGAGACGAAACTGGATGGCCTGGTGAAGCCTGCGGCACCCATAGCTTCCGTTTACGCGCGACCAAGAGCCCCACCAAAAATTCGAAGACCAGTCCCGCTCTCTGAACAGGACAAATACGCTTACAAATCGACCACCGTTCAGCCCACAGGTACCTTTACATAACTTACGTACCGACTATAACAAGCTATCAACTACATATATGTATCGATGATTGCGTGCAGAGGATTCTCGAAGGAGACCCGTGGACATGGCAGAAGACGATTACTACGAGGACGAACTGGAGGATTTTCGTCCAGTTCGAAGACCGCATAGAAGAAGACCGTCCTACAGAGAAAGAGAGAGAGATTTCTACGATAGCAGGGACAGAGAAAGGGACAGAGACCGAGTCTTCAGGTAGGGTAACGTACGTACACAACACCGATACAATTATATTCGTCTGTCGTAACCGATTAATCAAAACACATCACCGCGACATCATGTCAACCGATTTCGTTGGTCACATGTAACACACAGTAACAAACATTCGTGCCAGCGCAGCATCGCATTCAATGATCGTACAAGTTTTCACGTGGGAATAGTTTTATAATAGTGTGACACAAAACCATGAAAAATGTTCGATCAGCATCCGCGAGTTAACAAAAGTGTCGATTTCAGAGGCCGTTACCGAGACGAGGAGGAGGAGGAGGAGGAGGAGCTGCGGCCTAGAAAACACCCCGATCGCTCGAGAGATCGCTACTACGATCGAGAGAGGGATCGAGGTGACGACAGAGGCGTCGATCGAGGAAGAGATCGATCCCTCGACCGTAGCAAAGATCGGCCCGTGGACCGTGATCGTGGACGAACGCAAGACGCTGACAAATCGGACAGACCTTACTCGACTCGAGTTCTGGACAGAGAAAGGGACGTGGACCGTTCTAGAACTGGCTCCAGAGGGAAAGAGCTGCAAGACAGCACCGATTTGACTGGCAGGAAATCCAACGGTTACGATAGAACGACTAGCAGCGCGACAACGACAACGTGTCTGCCCGAGCAGCTGGTTCACAAATCCGAATCAAACGCCAAGGATCCAGTGAACGATCGTTCCGAGAGACCAACGCAAGAAAGGCCAGCCAGACCACTGCAAAGCTCGCCGACACGACCACCACCGATCGAACAAGGGGAACCTCATAGAACGAACCAGCAGCAGTCCGCCGAGTACCCAGAAAGGGACCAGGACGATAGACGCGAGCAGAGTCAGTACCAGACTGGCTCTTTGGAGGAATATTCGCAAGATTACTACGACGAACCTGATGATCCACCTGCTCCACCCCCGCGAGCCACGGTCCGCATCGTGAAACGACCATTCCTACCGTCCAGAGGCGGAAATTCCAACCCGAGGGGCTTGTCGTCGGTCGGCTCGAAGGCCACCACGCCTAAACGGGAAGAAGATAGACCGACGGAGAGGAGCACGGTTCAGGAGAGACCCAACAACTACTACGGGCACGACACGAACCAACAGAGTCCCTCGCCTCGTCAGGAATCCAAGGCGCGACAAGAAGAGAAGGAAAGCTACGACGCGTACAAAGCTATTCACATCGAAAGTCAACGCGAGCATACCTCGGACGACTACGACACGTCCATAGCCAGACCTGCGGTTCGACGACCTGTCGATCGACAGCGGGAGAACGAGCACAAGTCTGCGGACGAACCGTATACTAGAGGAACTAAGCAAGGACAGCAGCAGGCCGATCGACAGGATTTTGATGATGGGTTGGCCAAGTGGCCCTCCGAAGACTATTCTTCGGAGGGAAACGCCCAGACTCCGAGTTCCTCGGTTCGGAACAAGGGAAGACTGACTGCCAGTGAGAGCCCTAACGTCTACGGATCCTCGTATAAAACTGACGAGAACCAAGAGCATCCTACCGGTCCAGCCAATCTCAGGGTGAAGCAGAGGATCAACGAGGTGACGCATCGACTCCAGGATATCCCAGAGAGCGAGTACGACGTCACTTTAAATGACGCCTTGACGCCCACGTTAAATCAAGAACCTAATCTGCCCAGCGGATTCGTGCTGCCACTTCATAGACAGATAGGAAGAGATCCAGTCCTCGAATCGTCTGAAAACAATTACAAGGTGTCAAGGCCGGTTAATCAACAACAGAAGCCCTTCGTGGCCAGTCCTCAGTTTCTACCCGCAGCCAATGGGGACAGGCTGAGAACCATGTACTACAGACCATCAGAGTCGATTCAGCTCAGCGGAACGCAGTACCGGCAGACCGGACCGTGGCAAGATTACACCGGATATTGATACTAATTCCAACGCGTAAAGTACATTCGGAATGTCGAAAAGCTTCGGTATGTTACTTTTCTCGATTCGTGGACGAGTGAAATCCACTTGGGTCGCCATCGAATTGGTTATATACAGAGTTGGATGAATGTTGTTCCGAACAACGAATAAGGAATTACGAATAAATCTGCGATTCGAATAAGAGTTTATTCTTTACTCGAAAGGTTCCGTAAACGAATGAACGTCGTCAAGAAGCGACGTTTATTTGTAAACATCGAGTTGTTCGATCGAAACTTTATTCGTCATTCTGGAATAACTAGATTTACTCGCGACTTTTATTCGAATATTGTTCCAACTAGAATTGATTCGAAACAATCTGTTTGAAATTTTATTCGAATAACGTCCAGCTCTAATTGAAAGTAATCTCCGTGTAATTCAAACGAAATCGAGTCCTCGGCGTTTTAGTTATTCGGAGGTTAACCGTACATACATAGTCGAGGGAACAGTAGTGACTTCCGACTTGTTTTGGGAACAAGAAAACATTATTGGACTATAGGTCACGTCGGTCCGACTTTTCGATGTCTTTCATGCAGGAGAAACCGGATTGCTTCCGTGTTTCGGATTCTTCAAAATAAAATACGAATATTTAAATAATCAAATAATTATCGTGATGTTGACAAGCATCGAGCGTAGCAACAAGATCGAACAGAGTACTCTAAAAGTAACGATAAACGCAATCACGGATCTATACTTATCGAGGCCTGAACTTCATTGCTTTTGCGGACTCTTTTTTTCTTTTCTGAAATATTTTGCCAAGGACAAAAAGGTATTGCTGTGAAAATTTACTTATCCTCCCACTATTTTGCGACCGTCGGTACTCAGTGTTGCGTAGGAAAAAACAGCCAACAAATATTTGGTCATAAATTGTGTTTTCTTTCTTTAATTCAGTATGATATATCCATATCATAACGTTGCCTGTAAAGTAACGAATTAAACATTAAATTATAATATTCCATTCTTCATGAAGAAAGCAATTTTACTTCTATACTGCTAAATAGTAATTACATTAATGATTTGAGATGAACGAATAAGAAGCTGATGGTGGCTCCTAGTTGGGGGTCAAAAGCCAAGTTTCGTTAGTTCGATCGTGTTCCATACTTGTTCATCGTATAAATAGGATAATTGAATAGAATCGCAAAGCTGCAATTTAGAATGGTACTCCAACGATAGAATTCATCTTAAATTTCTTTTTTCTAACATTACCGCTACGAGATTTACGTTTTCCTATTCGAATGCGTTTTAAACACTAATTGATCCAGCGGTGAAATTGGAGAATGTATAAAATTCGGGTCGAAGGTGTAAATCGTCCCATGGTTGTTCTACTTTCGGTTAAGCTTGTAAATACGCACACGATTATGCCTAATTTTACCATGTTTCTTTTCGAATTAAATTATTAGCCTAAGCGCGAGATACGCGTTACGCGGTTTTCTACGAAAGCTCTTTCGTCGTCTCGATTCCTTTTTTTTTTTTTTGATATTAGTAGCGAATAAGTCTTCTCGAGTATACATTTCGCATTGAATGTATTGTAAATTATAACAATTGTGACGTACGATATTAAATAGCGAACAAAAATATATCTGCATTTATTTATCAACCTATGCACTTCATCCTAGGACTTTTGGACTCTAAACTAAATTTTGGAATCTCTATTCTGTTTACTCTTTTGATTTTCTCGCTAGTTCTATACTTATCCCGATTAGAAATAAATAAATAATATTTAAGGACTGTCATTATTATTCATTTATCTAGTTGCGATAGTAAATGAAAACTCATTTTTATTTCCATGGTTTTACTCCTACCAATAATATAATATACTTCTAATATTAATTCGACATCCTGAAAAATTAATATGATTAACTCGTAGCCAATTCGCTCGGTACCATTTATAACACATTGTTTATTTCTAAACAATGTGTCATAAACAATCACGATTTCCCAGGTCTCACCACATGGAGGCGCTACGAATGGAGACCCATAAAAGCAGTCGCGCAATTCTATACAAGTGTACGAGAATCGCTCGACATTTCACACTACCTGTGTAATAAACATTAATAAATGTTACGAGCAACAAATGAAGAGGTAGTAATAGAAATTGTCGTAAACCACTTTCTATTACTATAAATTTCCGAAAATACAATCTAAATGTTTAAAAAAACTTACGGTAATTACTCAATTTATTTCTGTTATTTCTTTTCAAGCCTGACATAAACACTCAGATTAAAAATATAAATTTTAACATAGTAATGAATTGTAGTACAGGCGAACAAAATATTTGTCTGGCCCAAAAGTATATGTTTAAGGACTAATTTCAACTTTTCCTAAGAGAGCACGTAAATTAGAAATAGAAGAGCGCAAATACTTATTACAACACGGATTATCCAAGACTGTGTTGTAGGAAATAACTTTGACCATTTGACTTGTTATTTTTTTTATTTTCTGTTTCATATTTATCAATAGTCATATATTTACAAATCTTTCGTTGCGGTTAATTTCGACCTAGTTCATGTGATGCATACACACACGTTAAAATAGTAAAAATTTAATGAATTCCCGGATAATACAACAGTCGGATGCAAAACGTACCTACAAAAAATTACGAAATCGATGGATTTCGTTGTCAGAAAAAATCGAACAAATTTCTTGTATTCAAAGCTGATTGCACGACGAATTGAGTGCGTGTATGTGTGTTAATCAGTGGTTGCCAAACATTCTGGAAGGTGTCCCACCCCTAAAAAGAAAAGTAAATTTTCTGCACCAAAGATATGTGTATATAGACAAAAAAATGAAGTTGTCTTATCAATTTAAATTGTTTGAATTTTTAACCCACTGAATACGAAACATTATTCACAGAAAGTCTCTTGGTAAATTAGATGCTGGCAAAACTCTTGTACTAGTAAATAAGTGATAACTACTATATTCTATGCTGCAAATGACGTACTACAAAACAAAACATCGCAAAACATTTATGTAATATTTTTTAATAAAATTTATAAGTAAACCTCAAGTGAAAAACGAAAATGACATAAGAAATATATATTCTCTCACAGATGTCAAAACTCCAGTGATGTTGAATTTATCCAAATTTACTGCGTCAAATTAATTGTGTTTTATACACTCCCAGTTTAGAAAATAATGATGTAAAATGTAACGTGTAACGTGTACGTGCCGAGAATCCCGAAGAACTGTACGTTTTCGTATTCGATTGAACATTAATCCTAACAGATTGTGCCACGAGAGTGCGATTCAGTCGATGACAAGCGTTCAGTCAAGGATAACGTAAAATACATCACAGAGTAAAATTTACAACTTAACAGAGCCACGCGCGCACAGAATAAATCACTCTAGCAAATATAGTCTGACGGACGACCGCCATTCGAAATATTTATACAGAAGAATTCTCTACTTGACTTTACGTAATTTCGAATCGAGAGAAGGATTGCGAGCGTGAGGTGGCTATGGCTAAAAGAACAGTAACAACAATTCTATTCAGTCAAATTGTCGAGGTGCATTGCAAAGAGTGGTTCGGTGATGAACGCGCAATAACAAGTGAAGAAAACGTCGGTGGCCCAGTCCCGCGATTTGTATCGCAAAACCCGTGACAGAAATGTCGACGACACGCAAAGTAAAGAACACAATTGATAATAATTCGCTAGTACCAGCCGCACCGTTCAAATTTGTACTCGCGAACTATAAAAATATCAAATCTTGTCTCGCGATGCCGAGCGGTCTAACGAATTCCGGGATCGATCTCGAGCACCGACTATAATCACTATGGTTAGCTTCTAGTGCGATTGTTCTGTACAAAAATGATAGAGTACAAGAATAGGTTAGATATGTATATAATATTTATATTTATATTTATATATTTATAAATCTCGAGAATGTACATCTCGATAATCTTTCGCGAGCGGGTGGACTCCCCTTTTCTCAGGAATATAAATATAGACGATGCGATTTTTATTTCTTTTTTTTTGGAATCACGATTAATTAGATTACACGCTATGGGAAAGAGAAATTATTGGCTGGCAAGAATACGCGTCCACGGAATGGCGGGGGGTTATTTACAAATTTTCTTATATTACAAGAAACGACATCGAGCACGATAACGGATGTAACGTTCTTTTGGTATGAGTGCAGCGGCATCCAAACGTCTTGCAGTTTAAAAGTTAACTTGGTTCGATCGATACGCATTCCAGGCACGGGAATGTTCGACTCTTTCCGCACACCGTTTCCTCGTTTGTTGCAAACACGCGAATTCATTTCGTTGCACTGATACCGTTCGTGGTAATGTACACTATACGTTACGACTGCAAGAAAGGTCGACGACCACTGCTTTAAAATTTTTAACGTCACGTCAAGCCCGAGATGGGCAAAATTGTAATGCGGATGTATTCTTTTGAATAACGAATATAAGTCAAAAACTGTTGATAAATTTTTAAGTTGCAGTCTAAATTATATGATCGTCTTATATGGTTCATATTATTATTAACCCTTAACGGAAGTACGTCACGTGAGACATGACACTAAGTTTTAAAGAAAATAGTTTTATATTTTAATAGTAAGCAAGATTAGAAAGTGTATTTTTTAGAAAATCTGTTATATCCATTAAAAAGAAAGTATCTATATAACCTTTTCCATCGATTAGTCTTAATATAATATTTATGAATGATAAGTTAACATGTATGATGAGAAATCAGGCCTAAAGCATTGACGTGTACGTCTAGTAAAGATTAATAAAAGCTTGTCCAAATAACTGTCTAATCACTCGAATAAAATCCTGCCCATCTCTGCATTGAACTGACTGTCCGCCTGGAGATAATTTAGATCCTGACCATTTATGTAGATCCTTCATTCTTTGGTAAAGTAACGTGAGACGTTCATGTATTCATTCTGAGAGTTATCCTCGAAAGAACAAGACATTCAGAGAAAACGATGAAACTATCCATACGACACCAGTGAATATTCCAGACGAGTTACAAATTTATCGGATACAAGAGACTATACGCAAGAAATGTATGTTAATCGACGTGAAATCGTGCGAATTTTGGCTATGGAACTCATGAATAATAATCGTGGGAATATTAATCGTGTCGCATACGGAAATTTCATCGAGAAATCAGGGATCTACGATCTTACTAAGAACGTAGAATGTAGAACGTAGAACGTAGAACGTAGAACGTAGAACGTAGAACGTAGAACGTAGAACGTAGAACGTAAAACAATAACGCTGTATATGTATGTAAATCCCGTAAAGTTTGCGTACGATGAAAAAGGTGACACGACAGCCACCCCTTTTATACAAAATATGCGATAACGTGTAAAATTTACTGACCAGCTTCTTAATATCATCGTAAAAAATTATGCTTTGAGTATGCTCGTAATGGCTAGCGAAAACGCAATCAGTTAGCCCACATTCCTTACGACTATCGTGTATAAACATAGAATCAGCGGGCGCGTAAGTAGTAGCACCTTTATGCGAAAGGATCGTGCCGTCGATTTAAAATTTACTTTTAAAAAAAAGAAAATAAATCAAAATTACGAATAGTAAAGAATTTAGAATTGTCGAGAAAGTCGATCGAATTTCTTATTTCTAAGAGACGTCGGCGTCGATATAGATAAAATGAAGCAATGTCCAACGGATAACAGACTTCCGATTACCAAGCACAAAAATACATCTACTTACACTAGCACCCCATTACATTTATTTAGCCTCTTGATTCAGTTTGACGATATTTTCTCTAGTATATACCTTGTACCTGAACTTTCGCTTGATATATACACAAAGTCACAGAACGTTGTTCCGTAAGCGTGACCAAGCTTCGAGGAGACTTTCACGCGCGCGAGACCCGATAAAAATTGGTCGATGAAAAAATGGACGAGCGAGAACCGGTGTTGGAAATTTGTTCTCGCGGTTCCATCGTAACGCGACACGCGCTACGGTAACTCAAAGCTTGCCGCTGTTAATTTCGAATCGTGTCACCGAACGTGTCACCCACTGTTCAAATCCATGCCTTCGATGAGAGGAAACAAGAGAACGCACTTTGTACACGGCACATACGTCGCTTATCGTTAAACACACCCTTACGCTATCGGTGGATCGTCATCGTCATCGTCATCCCTCGTGACTAGGACATTGCCATAACGATTCTGACGGAACTGTCGAAATCGTTGCAGCCATTTGTATCGTCTCGCGCCAAAGTACAGCAGAACACCAATTACTACGAGGAAGGTTGGGATTAACAAACCAGCCGCTACAGAACTACCTAAACAAAATTCACAGAGAGTTTAGTCTCGAAAGCATCTCGGCGTGCACAGCTGCTAAGCGTTTCTTTTTCTAAGATAATTCTGGCTTATCGGTATATGAGTAGTAAGATAATGTGACCGAATTATAGATCCAACGAGTGTTCTGAGACGAGTAGTTCTGCGAAAGTTTTCTCAAATTATCAAGGTGGGAAAGCCTTTGTCAACGAAGAGTAGCTTACGTTATGGTAAATAGGTTGTACCTGAACCTCTCAGCGACGGCGTCTGTGTGTTGTGTGACTTTAACGGTATAGGCTTAACGGCTAGGTTTAATGGAGGATAAGAGCTTCCTTCTACAGAAATAAATAAAAAATGTACAACGAACCGTTTATATATACGTTCCTTCGCATTCGAGAAAATCTAACATATTCCATACTATAATAATACATATCCGAATGATAGACAGATTTCTGTGAATCTATTATCGCTCCCATCATCCATATGAAAGGACAATAAACCTCAGCGAAGAAAATTTATAATTTAAAGCAACTGTGACTATATCGATCTAATAGGCCAGTAATATTATGCAAGTATACAAGTAATCTCATGTACTCGAAAACAACTCTGTATTTACTTGTATTAAAATGAGTAATACTCGGCGCTATAAACTGCATACTTCCTAATACTGTGATTAATATTTCTTTGGATAGACGGCTTTCATCAACGAATAAAATACTTTTTGCAATGCATTAAATTACTTACTGACGCGACAATACTTCCAAAGTTCCCGAAATCGGGAACGCTATAAACGCTATCTCGTCGCTGAGAGGTTGTAGTAACACCGCATCATCTGCAATTTGATATACCTCCTGAGTTGGGTTTAGTAGAATCTGTTTGAGCATTAGTCTCGTTAATGCTCGAAGTGGTCGTTATCTTCGAGCAATGGCCGTCCACCATCTCGTAATGTCTCTGGCACTCGCATCGTGGTTCATCGTCTTTCGTATTTTGGACGCATCTTTCGTTCTCGGCGCACTGCTCCTCCGCCTGGGTCAAGTTGCATGTTTTCTGCGTACTCGTCTCGTTCCCCGCTGAAACAATAATAATTTGTATTCGTTTGATAAATAATTTAATATTCATTAAAATTCATATTCAAGCTTTCAGATTTCTTTGAATTTCAAAGTTAGCCAACTTTCCTCGAGAAATGAACGGAAATTGTTCCCTTTTATCGTTACGAATGAAAGGTTATCCCGTATTTGCAGTAAATTGTTCTTCTTTGCATTCTAGAGCAGAGTTAGAAGACGGTGGTGGATCGAGGATCAACAAGTAGCGCGTTACATCGCGTGAGATAAGGTTCAATCAGTCGATGCGTTGCGCATCAACGATCGCATAAATTGAAAGTAGGGGACACAAAAGCCCTTTCTAGTTAATCTATCCAAAGGTTAATAGATACGAATATCAGTTACGATGATCGTGCCGTGATACGGGCGAAGGCTTCCCTGCATTCGTGATGCGTGATAAACTGATAAACGACATTCGTAGGAACAGTACGATATTAGAAAACCTTGAATACTGCAGAATATCAGGTGCAATAAACAAAGTTCCTACAATAATCAAGTTACCCAATGAGCAGTACCCTTACATTCACCTTACATTAATTACATAAACAATTTGAAACAAGTCTAGATTTTATGATTTGTTTTTAACTGGACTATTATTAATTCATTCATTTCTCGGATAATATAGTAGTAAGATGTATCTGTGCAATTCATATACATAAATTAAAACAAAAGAAAGATGATTTATTTTTAAACTAATCATAGGAAATTATACATCTTTTGTGTAATGAAATCTATTAAACTGTTACTACACAATGCTCGAGGCTATCTCTCGACCCTGTCAACTATTCCGTTCTATGAGTCAGTTTAGTTCAGTCTCTTGAAAAGACAAAACATTTGTTGTGCGTTCCAACAAGTATCGAATAATAATTTACTACCGACTTACTTTCTTGTCATTTCTTTTATTTATTGGAGGAGATTACAACTAAAAAGAAAACCAACACACTGCACTGCAAACGTTCAAGGATACCGTTTATGCGACGCCCGCGGCGCGTCGCGCCGACGCGTTAATTTTACATAAGCTACGCGTCACCTGTTTTCTTTTTAAGCATCGCGAATACGACGCATCGTGTTTCTAATCTACTCGTTATCAGGGCCTCGCTCGACGTTCCCGCCTTTTAGCCAAACAAAAGAACATGAAAGGTCCCTCGAGAGAAAGAGAGCGCGTTATTTTCGCGAGTCTATCGGCACCGAGCGGACCAAGATTGGCTGAATCAGTTAATTGAGACGAATTTGTTTTATCCCCCCGAATACAGAGGTTAACTGCACCGAATTTGAGTCAAGCAAATTAAGGAAGTTACTTTTGATTTGTTCCGACGGTGTTGTATATTAACTCGATAAACAGCCGTTTTCGAAGATTTTTAGAGGAACCATTTTCATTTAATTCAGCTCAATTGGCATCATTTTATTCCTAGTGACTCGCTCGTTCTTGCCACTGTGGATTATTCCAAGTTACACCGTGCAATTTATCCTCGAAGAAAAGACAAAGGTCGAGAATACTAAAATCAATTGTGCTACCCGATTAAAAACTGCACTTATACTCGAAAAACAAAAACCTAGAACCAAACCGATCCACCCATGTCCCAATTTTTGTCTAGAAATTTCCCATATCGTGAACCGTTTCTTTATGCGTCTTTCGGCTGAGGTATCGCATTCAGTTCCACGCGATTAATTCGCATGGTCGATACGGCCCGATGAACTTCCAAGCGATAACGTCGCGAATTCGACAGCGCGATCGAACAACGAGTCTTTTCATCCCCGTTCTGTGACGCTCGTCCGCGGATCTATCCAAGAAAACGAAAAGCTCGGTATCGCGAACGAGTGCTGACCGAGCAGAAAGACTAAAAGATGAAGTTGCGCAAGTATTTATTCGGGACAAGTAGAATTGAATATTTATACGCAAACTGCACGTGTAACAGTACCCCGTACAAAAGTGTTCCGCTAGATGAGGTTACACGAATTAACGGAATCGTCGTGGGAAGTTGTACATGTTCGATCGATAAGTCGATCTCAACAATATGGTTGAACGAGATTACCAACGAGATATTTATAAATTTGTTTGGTATAACCTGATACGTGAAATTCCGTTTAGTTCGCGCTTTTTTCTTCTACATGTATAGATAATTGTTACAATAATTCTTAAGTGGAATTGTAATAACTTTTTACTCCCGAAGAATACTGTATACGCACCAGATACGCGCAACATCCTTATCTAAAAATTTGAATGAAGAACGAAAGATAAAGAGCTGCTTATCCGTTGGCCGTTAAGTGAAAATCCAGTCCATATCTAATTTTAAAACCGTTTATCTCTACAGTGTCTACTGCAGGAATTAAATAAACGTTTGCAATTTCCACAGACTAAACGTTTCAATTTTCTCTGTAGGTAAATTAATAATAAAATTGGCTCCCGTGGGTCTCGTGAGGTGTTTGGGCGTAACAGCGACGCGTTAATCATTGCCCTCGGGAAATTAATTGCATGTATTTTCAATCGAACGTGTCGCGTGTAACGTAACGCATGAGTCCCCCGTTAATAATAAAATTACAAAAAAAAAGTCACCGTCGAATCACTCGACGTGTCAAACGTTGGGGCTACGTTGGACTTTGTTATCTCGTTGACTCATCCCGCTAATTACGAGCGAAATGTTGATCGTCCTTGTCGGAGAAATGCGTAAAAAAATTAGCCATGCCGGAGACCGCTTCCAACGATAACTTCGCACGCTTTCTCGTTAGCCAATATCAAATGTTTTTGCAAAATGTTGCTTCTTACCTAAATATCATTATTTTCTATGACGCAAAATTTCGAAAGGGTACTCGTTGTAATTAGAGGCGCGTTACACTGGGGGCTAAGAGAATATTTCATTTGCACCATCTAAAAGAAACGAACGAACGAATAAAGAGAATTTATAAATCAGAAACAACGATACAAATAATGTCAAACAACTATCTACTCCGGAATAATTCAGAAATAATAAATGAGTCTATATCTAATCTACCAAGTAGTTTTACTACTTTGTTTAAATGACCGTCTCTATATTGAACTGAAACATTGCATAACAGTTTAGTATGATCTACCAACTTTCTTACACTATTTCCAATAGATATTCTCAACGAATTATTTTGTTAGTTCTTTGGGGACAAGCTGTACGAAGACAAAAAGGCGGAAAAACCCGACGTTATCAAGGATTCCCAGACGCATGGCTATATCGAGAAATAACGAGTTAATTACGTCGTCCTGAGGAATAAGGAAGTATACGTTTCTGAATGAAAGCAATTAATTACAGAAATTTATTGAAGACATTTGCGACATTGTGTACGGATCAACGCAGTAGATAATTAGAAAACACCGTATTGCGATTTGTCCTTTCAACGTTTTATCCAGTGATGCACAACCATTTTCCTTAATAAGCCAAATGAAGAAAAAACATGTTCTGCGACGCAATTTAATTCAAATTTACGATAGACTATACTTATTGTAATGTATGTATATATGTGTACAATAACAATGACTCGCAAATAGAAACTCTTTCATACTCCACGGAGTATTCGAAACCATAGAGTGTGAATTGAGGACACAAATCGACAACAATTTTTTTTATATGTAAACTAGTATTTATCAATGTTATTATCTGAAACAGTTGACGGTTCAGTTTCAAAAATTCATAGATATCTAAACTCTGAAGAATATATAAAATAATAAAAGTTAACTTAAACTTGGAGACAAAACTTAAAAAAAAAAAAAAACACAATTTCAATTGGCAGAATAAAAATCATTTAAAGCACTCGCATTATAAACATGTTTTCAACTTCATTTTGTGGGCCCGATAAACTTGATGAATGAACTTAATAATTAGCCTCAAGAGGGTCGGCCTTTGTACATCATTGGTCTGTACAATTGAACGGTCATCGAGATAAGTTATTGCTCGTTCGACGTGGAATATCATTTAATTTTATACTTTAATCTAATTTTCATTGAACAGAGGATAACAGACAGCAAGTTGTTGGTCACTTATTTGTTATTCGACGCTTGTATCGACATAGAAAATTTACTGATATCTGCTCGTAAGGTATCGGCGACGCAGCACGGAGAAACACAACACCGGACGGGGACACAATTTCTGGACCAAAAGCAGATCAAGAGGAGAAGAGACACAGACACGACACCGGGAGCGAGAGAATACGAGAGAATGCGCTAGTGAAGGCAGAGAAAGAGACAGAACGAGGGACGAGGGGGAGGGAGGAGAAAAAGCGGAAGAAGACTATTGTGGCCTTAGGAAGGGTGACCCCAAATGGTTCGGTCGAACGAAGCAATTTCGGTCTCGTCTAATACACAAGGGAGATTGAATTTACTGCGAAATGACGAAGGGAATGGAATCGTTTAGACGAAATTCGTGTGCTTACCTGCGTAACTGAATGGCGCTAGAAAAAGAACCGCCACGATGAGATAGCGGAAAACATTGGCTCGAACGTTTCGCATTTTCCTCTTTATCGTTCGTTCGCTCCTTTCGTCCTGCCCTGCCTTCTCTGTGCTACCGTTCGATCACGGGTCACGATCACATAATAATGGAATTGGACGTTTACTCGATCGAGGTACACTCGGGTCTCGAGGTCGGTGGGTTTCTGGTTTCTGCCGCTCGAAAAAACGTAACGATCAACACAACAGACCTTCACACGCGTCTCATCAATAGGGTATTCGTGTCGATAGCCTGCAATCGATTCGTAAGGAGGATCAACAGGCGCGCGTGAGCCGGCACATCGCCGATCGGCCGGCCGTCACCACTTTTGACAGATAAATGCTAGGCCGCGCCGCGGAACGCGTTCAATCATCTGTTATTAAACGACCATTTGCTGTTATCGAAGCCAATTGGCAGTCGACGAATCGTTTCACGCGTCTCGATTCCTCGAGATATCTCGAGAGCCGGCGATTCGCCGGAACGCGCGTGCGCTGCCGACGGGCGCGAGACTCAAACATTTCAACACGACACGCCAACTTGTGGACATTTCTTTCACCTCGAAATCTCTTCCATTCGAAAATTGCTAAAGTTATTAACTTTACGGAACTCCAGACAACTCGTTTCCTTTACAACCAAGACAACACAATTTTCTCTCGATACGATTAATTAGACTCGAAGCTTACAAATTCATCCAACTGGACTCTATGAGATCTTATACTCTCTTATTTTCAGTTTTCGAGTAATACACAGTTACGAAGAAAAAGTATTGGAATAAAATATTTCAGAATCATTGTCAACTTGGGACTGCGGGGAACTGTTTTATTTTTGGCCAAAGTATCCGTGCTAGTAGTTTGTTTTTTATCTCCTAGATAACGCTAGCATCCGCCTGGCGGAAATCGATAGCTATACAGGGTATTTTTAAAAAGTAAAACCCCCACTACGGCAAAGTAACTTTTCTCCAAAAGTACACGGATTCGTCCAACTTTTACACCGTGCGAAACACGTTCTACGAATTTTAATGCATCGATTCCATACTTCGGGATTAAATGATTTCTAATTGGTAAATAGAAGATTCGCAAACTAAACGCGTATACAGTTAGTAGCGGTTATTATACAGGTTCTCCAAGGTAGTTGCGATGACAGCGGCACGTGTCATGGCGAGTTGTGTTGTCATAAACGAAAGTGGCGTACCGTGAACTGTTTGCACAAGACCTGACAAAGCTTATCAATTAGAATAACCGAAATGGCCGAAGACGCGATAATGAGTTTAAAGTGGCACAGCTTCCCGTCGCATTTAGCGATTTCCCTTGATACATGCTACGAGAAGCAACAGTTTGTAGATCTATCTTTAGTGTGCAAGGATGGGACAATTTTGAAATGTCACAAAATGGTATTGGCCAATTCGAGCTCGTTCTTTCGGCGTCTGCTCGTAGCCAACGATCATCCCCATCCTATGATCATACTTCACGACGTCGAGGCAGATGACTTAAAGACTATCGTTAACTTTATGTACTGCGGTGAAATACAAGTGGTCCAAAGTGAGGTTAGGCGATTGCTAAAACTTGCTGAGATTCTCGAAGTCACCGGACTAAGGCACATACAGACTTCGGTTTTGATCGGGGAAGCCAACAACGCGCCCCCCGAGACATCTAGAAAAACGACCACGGTGTCCCGTTTAAAATTCGAAGAAACAAAAAGTTTGCCTACCAAAGCTGTATCTGACCACGAATCCAATAACAGGCCGCAAAATAAACCGACGAGATTTATTTCACCTACTCGTATTCATAAAGGGGGGATCAAACTTCCACAAGAGAGTATCAAGAAGAGCGACGAAGGTAATACTAATTTATTAAGTCAGCGATTAGAGGCTGGTAGATCAGGAATCAGTATTGTAGATATCAATGATATGCCAAGTACCAGTAGGGGAATTTCCAACCCACCACCTCAAAAAAGGAAAGAACATTCTGATCCGGTTATCAGTTGGCCCAGCATTTTGTCTGCTATATCCAAGGATAAGCCTTTGTCTTTGAAGAAATTATGTATCATGGACGAAGTTGAAATAACGGCTGGAAAATCACCTGTAACTATTCGAGAGAATCAACAACACGACCCGTTAGATAGGAGAAAACATAATGCTAATTTGGAAAACAATCAAAGTATGAAATGTGCTGTGTACATAAAAGATGAAATAGACATAACTCCTGATATGGAAGAAGACGAAGATATGGATCCCCTTGAAGTTGAAGAGGCTGAGAACGAATGTCCAGAAAATATACGTTCTTCGCAAATGTTTTCATATACAAACATCGATCAGACCCCCTTTAATACAGGGACACTTCCAGAATTTCCACCAAGAAAGGGATCTAATGGTTAATTAAAATAAAACAATGTTTTGAAAATTGAAACAACTACTATCTGTTATGTTAAAGATAATACTTAGACTGAATAAAACTGTTTTTGTGATTATAATTTTTCTTTAACTAAAAAAATTTTCTAAAAATGTAAACATGTACACGTTAGTCATAATTCATTATCTTATTTGTTACTTTGTTACATGTCCTTATTCATTTCACAATAAACCGATTTAACCTAAACATTTCATATTATTTATCCCAATTGACAAATAAATCATTCTAGTATTAGAAATACTAAGTATTTAGAATTATTATAGATACATTACTACACATACAATTTATGATACTATTACACGTTTCTATGGAAACTGGAAACCTACAGTGGTTAAACAGTCTGAAATATACGTGGGTCGATTCTTTTATTTGCATTAAATGTTTGGAAGTAATACGAACGAAACTTCTAAAAACGACCAAATGGACGACAAATTAATAGAAGGGCAAAAAATTATGAACAATTTAACCCTTGATAAACAAGTAACAGAGGAGGAATTTCAAAACTTCATGCATCGCGTTACCGAAGTTGGTAAGTGTTGCTCAGCTGGGTTATCAACGAAATGTTAAATGTATTGTTATGCTTAAGAAAAAATTGTGAAAAAATTGGCATCGTCTAACGTCGAGGAACAAAAACACGGTGAAATGTTGGCAGACGAAATTTTAAAAAAAAAAACTGAAACGATCATTTCCGAAGATTGCGAATTAAAAATAAAAATCAATCGCACAGTGATTAACAAGTATCCCACAGATGGAATGAACAGTAACGAGCAAATGTCGCAAGGTGAGTAACTGTTGCAACTTTTTCTTTTTTTTGGAAAATAAACAAAAGTTTGTTTATCTAGAGATTTTTATGAGAAGCATAGAGAAAGATGCAAAAGAAAGGGCGGACAATCGGAGAATCAGAAACGAACGAGCAGAGACACTGAAAAGGATTGGAAATGGAGCATTTAAGGAAGGAAATTACGAAAAAGCTGTAACTTATTATAACAAAGCATTAGAACAACGAAAGGACTCGTCTATATTATGGAACAACAGAGCTTTGTCGTATATTCATCTCGGATTATTCGAAAAAGCATTAGCAGACTGTGAATGGGCATTAAAAGTAAACAATTCAAACATCAAAGCCCTTCTGAACAGTGCTAAATGTCACAAGCATCTTGGAAACGAAATGAAATGTAGAGAATGTATTCAATTAGCAAGAGAAAGAAATGGACACTTGAACAAATTTATTGATGGTATACTTTAGGTTTCAACATTTGAAACATTTCTATCGTAATTCAATTTTAATGATTTTCTTTTTTATTACAGAATTTGAAACAAATATGAACACATGGACATAGACTACCAGATCCGATCCGATATAAAATAATTTCTGTGCATCCTATAATACATTTAACAATAAATAATAGAAATATTTCTCATGTCCCGTGTATATTTCTTTTGCAATAATCTAAATGCGTTCGATCAATATCAAAGTGAATTTATTTTTGTTGCATAACCCTCTTTAATCTCTGAAAGAGATCTAGGTTCATGCAGAAAAACTGTGCACTCAATACCCTGAAAAAAATGGTCACCGATATTATTTCAATTTTCTGTACTTTAGAATAAAATATACCTATACCTATACCTGCATACGCGCGGCTCTAACAAATCCTTCGTTTGCGGATACAGTGATGCTTTTCGTATTTTCTCCCGTCGCAAAAACTAGTCTAGATCTGTCTTTAATTTTACCACCCAAACTTAGCTTCTCTACAATTCTGCCTGTAGGTAGGTTGTTAACAATTCGAACTCTGCTTAATAACTCTTTTGCCCTGGCAGTTTCTTTGGGTCCACCTATCACATCTATGATGTTCATAAAATTTTCATAAGCAGTTTGGCAAACAATGAGTTCTTTCTCTTTAAATAATTTCTCTAGGATTGGCTTTACTGGACGTTTCCTTTCCATCTCTGCTTGTTGCGTGAGCAGTGGTTCACGATAAATAAAATGATCATACCCATTTGTCATATTCGTCACATAAGCCAATAAAGTTGATACATCGAGATTAAGAATGTTTATTTCGGTTGCAAGAGACGATGTGTTTAAAGTTTCTAGATCCGAATGTATACTTTTTTTGTATTTGTCCAAAGGTTCATCCATGGATCCTAAAGTGTACATCCATGCAGAGAACTTGTCATCAGTTTCTACATCCAAAACAGTAGAGACAGCAATGAATATTCTTCTTTAGTCCACAATGCGATATGTATTCATGCACTTAATGTATAGAAAAACGTTTATACCATGTATATCGGTGCTCTTATCATCTTCCGATTGTATTCTATCTCCTTCGACAATTACACCCATGTGCTCTAGACGTGAGGCTAATGGTATTTCTATGCCATAAGCAAAATGAAATATAACATCCGGCGGCCTATAAAGGTGTGGATGACATTTGGCACATTGTAAGTAACTCACTGCTTGATCTAGCACAGATTTCTGTCCATATTCCCCATTGCCCATCGAAATCAATGTAAGTGCTCTGGCATTCCTAGCGATAACTTTTATCCACGATGCACCACCATTGCATACTATATCTACTTCTAATCGCGATTTTTGATATTTAAAGGGTTTCATAACATTGGTGGGTTCATTGGCACAAAATAATCGTACGACGATAGCATTTAAATGAATCAGATTTGTGCTTTGTAGATGTTCTTTCTTTACGTTCCCTGTAGATTGTACCTTTATGAGAATAGCGTACAGTTATAATTCTGGTATTATTAAATCAGATGCATACGACATGTATACGTAATAAAATAACGACATCAGACACAGAATGTCTTGGTATTTACACCTAAAGTACGTTTAGCAGTAAGTTTAACGTGGCATAAAAACTCATCGATACGAGACTTTCGGTATTTATAATGATATCGATAGAACGTACCTTTTCTAAAAATTTAATTTCTTGTTGAATTTTTCGTGTAAGTTTCTCAACCCCATCGACCTTCCCCGCAGGTTTCAGACGATGTACCGTGGCTTTGCCACTGTCAATTTTTTCCTCAAGACATTTTACAAGTTCAGCCTTTTCCTCCATTCTTCCTAATCAAACGATGGTCGAGCACTTGGCCATGAAAAATCGTATTTACTGTGACAATTGGAATAATTTTGGATAGTTCACGATCGACGAACGTAGTGGCAACGGCCATCTTGCATCACACAGGTCAATACGCGTAATGTCGTCGGGTCGCTTGTCAAACTCGCCTATTAACCTCACAAACTTTTCTATTTCAACGAATAATTGACAGTCAAGCGTAATACATGAATGGTAATTATATCGCGTTTCAGCGAAACGTGCCAAGTGCAGAACGACGAGCAAAAAAACCGTTCGCGTGTGTAAAGAAAGCGAAAATAAACTTGTTTATCGCGGCGTTAATTATTGCACGCTGCGAGTCTTCTTTGACAATAATAGAGCATATCGCAATATTTACGCTGCAAAATGTCCAGCGCGAAGATCATCGAGAATCCAGAAATACCGGGTGAGTTTCTTTCTTCCTAGGAAACATTGTTCATTGATTCACGTTGTTAGGGACGTGTGTCCTAGTGAATCTAGTATCGAAGAATACGTGAATTAATAAATCATCACGTGCATCAATCGTTCGAAATATGTATTATTTTTGTAACATTACATCGTCGAAATGGTCACGGTAAGGTACGTTTCCGAAGAAAACTGTACCTTTGCGAGAACAAAAACATTCTACGGATGTATTCGCAATGGGCCCCATCACAAATAGCCGGATACGAGTTTACGGCATGTCTACATCGCTAATTATCAAAACAATTACTCGAAGAATACACCTATCACGACCTACGTCAGATATGCGAAACAAGAAGATAAGTTATTTGTTGAATATCCCTATGCTTACTGTCAAATTTCATTGAATACTTGACCGTCGAAATCAGCTGACATCTTAAAATATAAAAATAACAGACACGTACGTACTAGTACGAATACAGTGTCCACACGAATTGTTGTTTCACCATTTTTACCCTTGCTAAGAAAACGAATTTATTCATCAACCAATTGTAACGAAATCATTTTTGTTGCGATAATGAATTTATCCCGTTCATTTGATTTTCATCGGATATTTACTGCGGAGTCGTAGTAATCATACAAGTGCAGCCGGTCTATCCTTGTTAAATTGACACGAGAATTACATCGATCGTTGTTATCTCTTATCCCACTCGACTCGCGTAATGTCAATTTCTTTCGGCCAATTTGCTTGTTACGTTTTTCCTCGTTATCTCGATCGCGGGTGCCGAAGCAGTTTGTTCGGTCCTGAGGTGTAGTGAGCAGACAGCGTGCAGTCGATATGTAGCAATGGGATCAAGTATGTCGCGAATAGTATGGAAACCTGTTTGATTGTACAACGCTAGAATCGCTACTATAAGATCGAATTCGGACACAATGGGTTCAAATGTTAAGCAACATTCTCATCTAGATAAAATTGTCGAGTGACGAGTAAAAGATCAACAACTTCTCGTTCGTTACTGGTTGAATAAAAATTAGACTTTGAATTACACAGTGTCGTGACACCAGCTGTTGATAAAATGAATACGATAAAGGAAACAAAGGTGAAGGAAAATATTAAGTAAGAATCCAACGTAACGAGATGTAATGATGTTATACACACCTAATCTCAAATCGGTATTATTATTGACCGAATAAAATCTTGTCTACGTGACTGTCGAATAACCGAGTAACCGACGCGAATAACTCGTACGTTTGATTGAATTTCGTTATCTATTATTAGAATATAAGTTTGCTTCGATGGAGTACATACGAGCTCGATCCCACCGCTATCGATAAGAAAAAAGCACGTGCTGCCATCCACGGTCACTCGCGAAACGTATCTTGCACGTTACCAATAAAAATGGGTAACATTACCGGCCTTATATCGGCAGGCGTATGCGAAATTAACGAAATTGGTA